AACTTTTTCTTGCCAATTTAATACACACTTAAAAATACTGTTCTTTTAATTTTGCCTATTCTGTGTAGCATATTGGTTTAAACAAATTGTATTTTCTATTAAGTGTTTTGAAAATGGTTACATTGTATCGTAACTATTTCATTTTAAAAGTTTTACTTTTATTGGTCTTCATGTAAATCCTGTAGTAAGCTTAGATTATTTATAGGTAAAGTGAAACATATCAACAAATCCTAGAGTTAGTTGCGCTTTAAATCTTTCAACTTAGTAATAATGAAAAGTATTTGAGGAGGTTTTACATAATCAATAGGATGCCAAGCGTTGTTTCTGTAGTCGCTCATCCGTATCTTGTCCCCATTGTGTTAAACACAGCAGTTATGTACAAGTTAATGAAGGAAATACAGAAATAAGCAGCCTATTATTTAGTGTTATTATCAGCAGCATTATTAAATCTCCTTGAGCACATTCTTCATGTATTGTTATTATTTAACTGTTAGGTTGAGTGTACGCTGAAATTTTAGGTGCATTGGCACAAGCTACAAAGTGCTGGGATTTGAGGTCGTCCAGCACCTATGATTGAATCAAGGTCTGTGTCAAAAGCTTCGGAAGCGGTTCAAAGAAGTGGCGTACTTGAAGGCAAATTAAATCATTTATTATTTATTGCGCTCTTCAGTATTTTTGTAACTTCTATTTTGTTCGTTAATTTGATATGTAAATTTTAATTAACTGTGATTAACGATGTTGACAAAATTCAATAGGTGCTACAGGTATTATGTATGCTATTATCATTTAAGGAATTGGATGGTTTAGTGCTCAGGTATCATTATAGGCTTAAATTTAAAATGAAGAATAACTTTAGCAGAACTTTTTTTCTTGCAAAACTGAAGTTATTTACTTCCTCAGGTAGCATTATCAACATAAACATTATATTATGCTTAATTTAAAATGAAGAATAACTTTTATCAGAACCTTTTTTTCTTGCAAAACTGAAGTTACTTCAAAACAACAAACATGCCCTGGTTTTTATTACTATGGTTGTTTATTGCAACTAGGGAAAATTTATTAATGTTAGAAGTTGAACAATAGGTGGTGACTAGAATTTAGACTTTGTGCCAGACTGACTCATGTTCCCTCCAGTGGCATAGTTAAAATAAAATATTACGACTCATATTTCCTGGTGTATTTCATCTTAAGTAGAAGTTACTTTCTGGATCACTTCATCAGCGATGAATTCTTAAAGATTTGGTGTTGAAAGTGTTAATCTCTATTATGCCACACAATATTTTATGTACAGTATTGTTAATCTTTCAGTACATGGTATTTTTCTGGCAAAGTGAGATTACAAATTGATTCAAAGTTATGGTTTTTTTTTTTTTTCACATTTACTGGCCTATATAGCCCTTCAGTAGTCACAATCAGCGACCATACACTATTAGAAGCCTTGTAACAGTGCAAGTTGCAACAACATTGTGTTCAGTGTGAAAATATATGGAGATGACAATGTCCCACTGATAAATGTCTTGAAAAAATATATGTTTGGGGCCTACATTATTATCTTTCGGATAATTACAAACCATTCCCAAAGTGTTTCCCAGTTCAGGATTTAGAGTAGATTTATACAAACTTCAAAACAACAATTATTCAACATCATTTCTTATACAGGAGATATACTCTGAAAAGCCATGCATTTTCCTGTTTGCTTCAGTTAAAATTTTGTCATCGATAATGTCTACACTATACAGAATGGAAGAATTATAAGCATAAGATTCGAAAAAAGGAAGCATGCACACAATTTTGAAGTATATAAAAGTAACAAAGTGTTGTGGTCAAAAGCCCCATTGGACAGTTTATACAACTTGTTTACATTTGATTTGAATCAATATATCCACAGTTTACTCTCCTGGCAATTACATGTAGAAGTTGGAAGCAAATCGGAATAGGATGTACCAATCAATTGCCACATCTTCGAGAAAACAAACTTAAACCAAACACAATAACACGATGTAGGAGGTATTGTTGGACAATGTATTGCAGGTCCATTTAGGGGAAATTGACCATTGGAGGTTCTGTCTTAGGCCTAGCTTGCATCAACAAACTACCTTTCAACATCCCCTCATTGTGCTACTGGTTTAGGCCTACTAGCATGCGATGATATATGTTTATTAAGCCTTGATTATTATTGACATCCCTTCAGTGTCCAGTTAGCCTTTGATGAGGGTTTTTTAATCATCCCAGGCCTTTGGACTTTCCAGTATCATTAAGCTTAAAGCTAACAACCTATGAATGATATCATTATATCATACTAGGTTTTTACTAACTTTCAACAAGATCGTACTAAAAGCCTACGATATATTAGCATCAATCTAGCTGGCCTGGTATTGATGTAAGTTCATGTAAAGTGTATCTCATTTAAACCTTTCACTGTGTGAACTTGTGACCCTGAGGAGGCTTTGATGGCTTCAAAAAAAAGTCTGTTGTCTAGGTGATGGTTTTTTATAGAGGAAGAAAATCAGAAGAATTTGTAATATTTTTTCTTTCTAGACAACAGACTTAAAAATCTATGTGTACCTTGAATCCCAATGTACTGTAATTAACAATTAATTAGTAACTCTTATTGTATTTGATTAACACTTTACCCCTTCTGTTACCTCTGTACTTCAATTTCAAGCACAGAATTTAAACTAAGTAAATATTAGCCATCGGGCGCCTATAGTACTACTGTATACATATGAAATTAATTTTTAATTTCATAAAGTCGATAACCGTAAGGATAATGCTATGATTGTAAATACCTGTCAATTTTGTTATTTATGATATTTTGAAGTACAGTATTGTGTCGGCACTTGAGTACATTGTAACACTAGTTAAATATTATATAAACCTCAAGCTGTCTGTTCTGTGTGCAGACAGTTATCCTTCACATTTTTTATTTGAAGTTTATTAGGGAGAATTTGTGTTTATGACCTAAGTTTAAGTATTTAATGAACAGTTAGCATCCTGTTTAAAGGCCATGTAAAAAACACATTTTTTCATTGTATTCACTGAAAGGAGGAGCCTCTCTACCCCCTACCATCCCAACTTAAATTAAAATCCTATTGTCACTAAACCTTAGTGATTCTGATAGCTTAGGAAAGTTTTGATCACATAGACCATATGTGACCACAAGGAGACGTGAGTAAACTACGGGTATCTACCTGACCCATGCCTGAAAAACTTTGGTTTTATGAGAAATTTACTTTTTCTAAACTGATGACTTTTTTTACGAGCATTTTATTTGAACACTTTTATTATATTATTTGGGAAGTCTGTGTCAACTTGTTTGTTAGAGAGATAGCAAGACAACAAATTTTAGTTGTTTCACATTTGTAAGACTTCTGTTGGCAGATCCAGAGTTTTTTAAACTAGGGGCCACCAATTTCATATACAGTAGGCCTAGATGTACTATTGTATAATTACACAGTACAGATATATCCAATAGTGGTACGATAAATGTTCAGTATATTATGTTGTTGCGAAATATTGTAACATATACTATTTGTATGCTGTTTTTTATTTTTTTATTTTTTTTTGTTAAAACATTAAAGATGGCAGTGGAAAAACCAAGAGTGTGTATGCAATTTTGTATTTTTTTTCTTTAATAAAGAAAATACTGGGGGGGGGGACATACTGTGGGACCCTCTCTAATTCCCTGCACTGACCTAAAGTTTGATATTCTGCAAGGGTAAAAGAGGATGATGATAACATCAATAAAGTCTTTATAGTTTTACTATGCACTTTGAATTCTGAGAAGGGCTTGTTTGGTGTTTATCTGTTAAACTTGCAAGCTGGGCAGAAGGTCAGGAACTATATCGGTTTCTCTGATCTGTGCCTCTGAGGACTGGTTCCAATATTTGTCCATCATTACCTCATTAAATAGTGGAATCTGCACCTCCCTATGTTTTATTTCTTTCTCTGGTTAGCATCAGCTTTTGGAACTTATGGAATATGACTCCTTAGGGGATTTATCTTTGTCTTCTTAGCTGCTGCTCTTATTTACTTAACTTATAGGTTAGTATAGTAGTATTCATTTGGGCTAGCTATTACCTCAGTACAAATATATAGTCAGCAGACACAACTATAAAGACTATTTCTTTTGGAGTATATTATTATACATATTTAATAATTTCTGATATAAAGTATATTTATGAATTTATTTTGTGTTAATTTATCTATTTATTACTAATTCACTTAAAATTTCTTTGAATAATTTCTTTCATTAGGGTTTTTTTTTTGCATGTAGTTAACAGTTCTAATATTCTTAATGTTAAATCAAGTAAAACTAAGTAGCAGTATATAGGCCTATACTTTTATTTCGTAAAATTCTTATTTCAGACGTGCTTAAATCAATAACACAAATAAAACATTTGGCCAAATAAAAAAAAAAACACAAACTGTATGTTTCACATTCAGGGGGATTCCCACAAAAATTACTACTACTCTATATCTAGGCCTTGGCCATGCTAAGATGTAAATGATCACTTGGTGCTTATGTGGATAATTGATATGAATATCAGGAGTGTGCCAAAAAAGAATTGGGTGATAGGATAAGAGATATTTTTTTTAGAGTTGGTTTTTGGATAAATGAGAAGAAATGAAGAATGAATTTAACATTGACTTGATTTATAGAATAAAATTAAATGCGGAATCCGAGGTGAAAATCTGAAGTTATTGCTCATAAATGGAGCCATAAGTTGGGAGCTAGTGTCATTAAATCACAAATTAGAGTCAGTTAAAATGCTTGTAAAAATGTTTAGAGGGTCTTTGTTCCTAATCATCATAATTTTACAGTGACCTTAGCTTAGCCTTTTAAATGACCCATAAAAGAACTGACTGCACCTTTGACCACACTAACAAAGTGGAACATGTTTTTTAAATTGCATACAAACTATAAGTTTAATCAAATATTTAATCATATGAAATGTATTACTTCCAAAATATTAAACCAGATTTTTTTTTTTTGACAGGTTCGGATAACAGTGACAGATATCAATGACAATGCTCCAGTGTTTGAAAAGGATTCCTATCGTGTCACCATTCCAGAGAATGCATCACCAGGGAGTCTCCTGACATCAGTTTCTGCCACAGACATTGACAGCAGTGGATCTATCAGCTACAGGATCATCAATGCCGATCCTGCTCTTTTCCAGATTGTCTCAACCAGTGGAGAGCTACGTACGGCAGCAATATTAGATCGTGAAACCGAGCAGTTGTATCGTTTTTCAGTGGAAGCTTCAGATGGTACGCTTACATCGAGGGCATCGGTGGAAATTGAGGTTAATGATTTCAATGATAACGATCCAATATTCTCGGAACCAGTCTATTCCTTCAGCGTGTCAGAGGATGAAGTCATCAATTCAGAAGTTGCAATAGTGACAGCAACTGATGCTGATGATGGAAGCAATGCAGAGCTGGAATACTCCATCGTTGAGGATGGAGGATTTGGGGAAGATGTATTTCAGATTAATTCGGAGACTGGTGTCATTTCATTGACGGAAAAATTAGATTATGAAACAGTAAGTTCTGCTTGTTACTTTTTAGCAATATTATTATATTATTATTATTATTATTATTATTAGGGCATGTAAAAAAACTAAAAGATGACTAAAAATTAACAACCCTTTCTGCTATGCCGGATTCGTTTGGATAGCTTACAAATCAGGATTGAAGAATCAAACCTCTTCCTTTCCCAAAGTTTTGGAAAAGGAACAATAATTTTTAACATATCCAATATTATTTATTACTTTATTATGTGCCTATCTCCACCACAGTTGTTAGCTCAGAGCTTTCGGTATTCTATTTCTCTTGATCTAAATGACCGAATGATGTTCTTTTAAATTCTGAAGCCCATATGATGCGATGAGACGTAAGAGTAATAGCTATATGTTCAATCATATGGTACTAATTGTTCTCTAAATATTTTTTTATTCTTAGCGGGCTTACTATGCTCTAACTGTTCAAGCAAGTGACAAAGGTTCTCCATCTCGATTATCAACCGCAACGGTCTACTTCAATGTCTTGGATGTCAATGACCACTCTCCGATCTTCAACCCTGATCATTATGAGCAATGGGTGCTGGAGAACACTTCTATTGGAACACAAATTCTGCAAGTTATTGCAGAGGATGCAGATTCTGGTATGTTTTCATCATTTTTAATTACTGACTCGTTGTATTGGTGAAACCACCGGGGTCCACATTTACAGTATCAAACTAGAAATCAGCTTAAATTCGTCTTTAAGTCCATTTTTTTTTTTGAGTCAGTTTTATCAATAATGCTTAGCTTAAAAATTGCCTAAAATTTAAAAATTGATTGTATGCATTCGCCATCTGAGATGATTTTTTAGCTAAGATTTTGCTAAAATGGTTTAATAAATCAGCTTAAGATATTTACTTAAGCACATCCTTAACTTTTTTGACTTAAGACATTTGCTAAGATTGATAAATACCAGCCTGAAGCTATATACTAGAAATAAAAGATAGAGCACTCGCATGGCGAAAGTAAGACAGATGTACTCACATCTTTTACGCAAATCTAGTCGTAAGAGATGCCCTTCAATTTTCAATATAGCGATTTACACGGGTTTATCCTGTTCACATCCAGACATGCTTTCTGTTGCTAAGTAAATCCTGACTTACGCAGTGCCCTTCTCTTTCCGCTAATGGTAGAAACTTTATTACCGGTCATACGATTCTGCGCTTTTGTGTCTGTCATTTTGTTCTTTTGATTTATTTATGCCTGCTTGTTTGTATCTTATTTGTGGCAACAATTTCTACCTACGCCAAACGGGCCACCAAAATTTGGTTATGTATTCACTGTGATATAAGTTTCGCAGACATTTTTTATATCCAGTTGTACGCGGTACCCCATAGTTTGTATTCAGACCATGCATTTTGGTGGAACACTTTTTTCTGTGGAAAACTCTATCTTGTGTTTCTAGTGTCTTCGATTATTTTGTTTGCTACTATAGGTATTCTTTTGTAAATAGAACTGATATTAATACCCTTGACTTGAAAAAAAAAAACAAAAAAAAACACGTAATTATTAGATCCTACAGACAGTGAGTTTAGTGTTCAGATTTTATATGGCCATTTCCACAATTGAAAAAAATTCTCAAGGACTCCACAACAACAATCTGAACGATAATTAAATACCAACATAGGTTTATGAAAGTCTCAGGTGCTCCAAACCATTGTATAACAGAAAAGCTGTTTATATATTAGAATCATTATATAGTGTGATATATATACAGTGAAGTCTATTGTAGATTCTGCAATACACAATTCACATTGTCTGAAAATAATGCGGCAAAATTTATGACTTATACGTTGGGGCAATGTCTGTTAATGACCCGAGGTCAGGTTCTAGTCTGCATTGTAATGTTTAGTATAAGAATTGATTGATGTCTTGTAGTTGGTAGTTTGTCTGTCTAACAGTATTATCAGGTGCGTTAAACAGTGTTTGGATATTGTCATTTGCCCTCACCCTTGTCTGTCTGGTCGTGAGTCTCATCAATTGAAGGTGTTTTCTTAACGTGATGATTGGGTTGACGTTGAGAGGTCATCTGACCTTGACTTTCATCCAATAGATTTTCGCTTTTTTGTATTTCAGCATCCGTAACCTGCCCTCATTCTATAGCTCATTCCAAGTAGTACCTGCAGTCCCTCTCCTCGTTACAAGATGATCTACCAAGTTTCATGCTTCCTAATTCTGTATGCTTATCTGTAGTCACTATTATTAATAAATTGCATTTTTAAATAAAAAATTAGCAAAAATCTTAGACCTACTGTTGAAAAAATTTGACCTTGTTTCTACCAAAAATTGGTATGTACAGTAGTATTTCGCTATTTGATGGATTAAATCCATATTTTTCGGCAATTTGTGACAATGAGCTACAGTGGACCTATTTGTGGTCTTCTTCAACTATGAGTTTTAGCCATGTGGAAAATTTTCGCATCTTCTCAAATCTGTTATACAATCCTAAAAATTGTCTGAAGATCTATTTTTGTCTGTAAAACCCCTATTAAGGGGATAACTTCAGGACCAAAGGTAGTGCTCCCTAAATAGGGGTGTCCCTTGAATAGGAGTTGACTGCTGTGTTAATTTTTCGTCATTTTGTGCCCCCAAGAAAGTCGCCCCTTAATACGGGTGTCCCAAAGGAGGGTTCTACTCTAATAAGGAAATCAAGTGGAACATTTCCAGGTGTTGCACTAGAATGCCCTACTAATAGTCTCCACAACATTTTCGCTCCCCTTGCATGTCTCTTCGTGATTAGCTTCTCTTGTGTCACATTTATTTCTTTTATGTTAAATAAATAGTTGTCTGTAGTCTAAATTATGTCATGTTTAACTGAATGGTATGTTTCCGCTTGTCAATGAGCTGTTGGCTGGAAAAATAAACATGATTACCGTGTGTTAATGTAACAGTAGCGGAATTGTGCTATGGTCCATGGCAATTGCAGCTACCATACCGACTGCCGTAGAGTCATGCTGGCAATTTCTAATGATTATCGTGGAGTATCACCTGAGGGCCGAGATTAATACCTCGCTTTTCCTGCCGATACAGTAAACATTTTATTGTAATTACACACAGTGAACATGGGAAATTTATTGGTTTCTTAAAATTTAATTATTTAAACAAAAATTTATCCTTTTAATTGGTTGAATGAAACTATATTGCAAAGTACACTAGTATGTACTACTTAAGTATTCTATATTTGTGTTCACAATATCACAGACATATGTGAAGATATTATAATGTATATTCTCTGTCCTGGGTTCACAATGGTCAACGGATATGATTTGAATAGGTTTCCTGTTAGCTGCTTCTGCCTCCAGAATCATCTTCTATTGATTTTAAAAATGCCACTATCATTCTTTGTGAATGATTTAAAATTATTGTACCCTTTTTCTTTACCTGTAGTCATTTTCTTTGTTCCTTCCACTAATTTTCTTCCAACTGTATATTTGGTTTTTATTATATTTATGTAATGCAACAATCCAAAAATAAAATTTTAATTTGAATTATTTTGTTTTTGTTGTTACTTTGATTGATGCTATCAAAATTATGCTTCTATATTATTATATTAAATATTATGATTATTAAAGGATAATGTACTTTGAATAAACTAGTGTATCAAAATATATCAAATTAAAGGTACAGTTAACAGTATAATTATCCCAGGGGTAATTAAAAAGAATCTCCCTGGGGCTAATATAGGTCCTTTTAAACCCTTGCATCGAACTCCCAACTTAGTTTCAGTACAATTAGCCCTCCTTCTACCAGATCTTTGTTGTGATTTCTTTTATTGCAATTTTATTTCAAAGAAATAAGAATTTCTGTTTGCATTTTGAATTGAACTGAATTTCAGAGGTGGTGCTTAGTGGCTGGGTATTCTAGTTTTCTATTCAATTAAATGGTGTAATGATGTCAGTATTACAGTTATTTCCACTTCAAACGATCTGCACTAATTCTTGCGTAAAATTTTGTTGATTGGCTGGAATGTGCTGGTCTCGTATCAATACACCCAAAGAAGATTGACCCCTGAGTTTACTGTACAAGTTATTGACCTATGACCTAAGTATAGTGAAATCTTACTTGATGTAATATTTTCGGAGCAGTTTTGTATTGTTACATCTTTTTATTTTTCTATAAAAATATTCTATGTAAAAATATTGATTGATTACAGATTGTTGGATTGAGTGATTGGTTGTGTTAAAACTCTTATTTTTTTTATCTGGCACAACAAATTGAGCTATAGTCTGTATTTATTTTGTTAATGCCTTCTATTTAAATAGTACAATTTTTGTTTTTGCAGGTAACAATGCAATATTCAAATACACCATTACATCAGGAAATTCTGGCAACCTCTTTACAATAAATGATGATGGAATTATCTATACCAACAAAGTTCTTGACAGGGAGTCAAAGGCATTCTACAACTTAGCTGTCACTGCCACTGACCAGCCAAGTGATCCTTCAATGGCAAGATCTAGCACAGCACAGGTGTCAATCCTTCTGAGTGATATCAACGATAATGCTCCACAGTTTACGAATCCAGGCATCATCTCAGTCCCAGAAGACACAAGTATTGGTACTATCATCATGGTAATCCATGCCACAGATCCTGATGCAACAGAAAATAGCTACATCAGCTATAGTATGTCTCCGGTTCCTGGTGATGTCTTTCGTTTAGATGCAGATGGAAATCTGCAAGTATGGGGACAGCTTGACAGAGAGACCAGAGCAGAGTACACTTTAACTGTCATTGCTAGTGACAAAGGACAACCAGTACAGAGTTCTTCCATGAATATTGCTGTTGAAATCACTGACAGCAATGACAACCCACCAGTGTTTCTGGTTGACTCTCCTCATGTAACTCTGTCAGAGAGTCTTCCAGTTGGTGTAGAGTTCCTTCAGGTTTCTGCCACCGATGCTGATGAAGGTGAAAACAGTGACTTGATCTTTACAATCATCAGTGGTAATACAAATGATGATTTTGCAATTGATTCTTCACGAGGAGTTCTATTCTCCAAGAATCCTTTGGATCGAGAACGAACATCCAGTTACACGATCACCGTCCAAGCTAAGGATAGTAGCAGATCACCGCTTTATGCCATCACGAATGTGAACATTGATATTTCTGATGTCAATGACTATAGACCAGTCTTCCTTGACTCACCATACACCATCAATGTGCAGGAGAATGCACAGAGCCTTCCAGTCATTATAAACAGGATTTCAGCAACTGATTTAGATGCTAATTCCAACAGTCAACTAACTTATAGTCTGACAGGTAATGAAGATGGTGATCTCTTCACTATTGATCCATCAACCGGTTTTATAAGTATACATCAAGCCCTGGATAGAGAAGTTGTGGAACAATACACTTTGACAGTTACTGCACGAGATGCAGGTAAGTTACTAAAATGTTCTATATAGTTCAAAATTAGGTTTGCTAGTAAACTGAACTAAATATGCAGTGTGCAATTGAATGGGTTTTCAACAGAAATGTCATGAAGTTTAAAATTTAGATAACATCAGATGGGTGTTCATAGAATTGTGGCAAAATGGGTGCAAAATGCATCTCTTCCTGAAAATGTTAATCTTTTTAGTAAATAAGTATTTGTGGTTTTCACACGGAGAAATTATTCTCTTAAGCCGTTAATTGCGGAACTGGAGTAGTTGATATAACCCAAGTTTAGGACGCTCAACAATAACTCAATAATAGTTTCTGATTACAAATAAGGCTGGGAATCGGATTGTTGCGATTCCCTGTACATTAATCCTACTGTTTGTAAGCAAATCATAGCTTGAAGCAAATAGATTTCCAACGTTCATTTCAACAATGAAATTTTCCCTTGATTTAGGAAATTCTTTCCTCTCACAACCTTAGTTATTGCTGTACACATATTTGCTAATCTATGGTTTAATGATTTCTTCTTTAACCTTGTTCATTGCCCTTCCCTGAGGGGGTAGATCATTGTTCGAATGGGCTGAACCTTTAAGTTAAAGCCCAGCGAAAATTCTGGAAAGGATTGCGATAGAATTTGTCAGCATAGCTAAACGAATAACTGTCAACATATCAATAAATAGATATAAATGAACAATACAACAATCAGTCATTAACGAAAACGACTAATTGGAATGCCTTTTCTCTGATATTGATACCTTTATATGGAGTGAACAATTAAAAGCATGTAATCCAGTTGTGTACTACACTATGGGAGATTTAAGCCTTGTTTTTCTCAACTAGAGGTACGCCAATAAAGGTAACACATTTTAATGAACAATAAATTGGAATCGTCCTTTTGTAGCTTGGCAGTTGGGGTGCTCTCCTCTTATTCCTAACTAGTCCTCGGTCTTATCTCTCTGTGTGTCTAGGATTTTTGCTTTCAGGAACTCTACAATCTGCATTATTATGAGACTTAGACTTATTATGGATTAAATTTTTACCTAGGCCGAAAGTTTCCCATGATTAATTTGTATGGCTGTTCTCACATGGATTATTTTATATGGTACAATTGTATAGTTAATACAAAGTACAGTACGGTACTGTGTGACAGAGTTTTGGCTTGTTTATAGCATATAGGTGTTTCTGATGACATCACAGGCTGAACATTTCTTCTTAGGCAAATATATTGTGCAATCATCTTTGAATTATTACTAACTTTACTGAAATTATACCCAGGCTGGATTTAATGTGACAGAGCCTAGGCTGTATGTTTATGTGCATAGCTTAGGACCTAACACATAAAATGCACCTTTCTTTGAGTGAGCGTGCTTAGATGGTGCCCTAGGTTGGGTGTAGGATAACCTTTGACCTGTCCTTCACCCTTGGGACTTTTGCGATAATTAACACCAAGTACATTCAACTTTATGTTGGTTTTATTTATGTAGTCTTTCGTTTCGAAACATAGTTTCGTTGTTAAATGATTCAGTACTTTAGTGTGAAAGAAAACAAAAATTATTGATTTTATGGACTCGTTAGACAATATTGTAAATATTCGCTATGAACAAATGTACAATGTACAAGATTTGACAGGGAACAATCCAAGGTGTTCCAGTTAAACATTAATGTGGTCACCTACCATTAGTGAACGTACCAAATGATAATAGTGTTTTACACTAATATTTATACCAATTAATATTAATTATTTATTATATACCAATTGATAGTTAATTACAAAATATTTTATAAATACAACTTAATGGAAATATATTTATTTTATACCAACTGATAATAATCAATATATTTATTTTATATTATTAATAGTTTATAATATATTTATTTTATAGCAATTGATAATATATTTTTGTTACAGTATATCAACTGATAATATATTAGTAAATATTTTTTTTTTTTAATAGTTAATAAACATGAAATTTTGGAAATTGTGTGTTAGAAGTAACTGCTTGTCAGCTTAAATCTAAGTCTACGAATGCTACAAGATAAAAGGTGGATAAAGCAGATATTGCAGATTACTCTATTATGTTGGTCTTTTAATCCTTTCTTTATGTTTTGTTTCATAAAAGTTTTAGGGTAGAATAGCTGCACTATAATTAAGCAAGTCTTTATTATTTCCCCCTTCATGTCATACTTCATTAGGTATTTCGGTCGGTAACAATTTCATTCTTGGTCCTTGGCTTACAAATTCTAGAAAGGGTGCCATAACACATTCCAACCTACCTGTTCAGGTAAATTTCTTCCGCTTGAATTATTTGAAAGAAAGACAGAAAATAAAGCTAGGATAAACAAGCCAAGGGGCGATACCTTTGTGTTACCATCCTAATCCTTCCTGTATCGGTAGTTTGAATTATTTTTATTTGAAGTTTATTTTTCTGTAGATTTTGTTGGGTACAATGAAGAAAAATTGTGAAGTTTTTGGGTGACATAATGCATGGCTAAGATCTGAAAACTGATTTAGATTCCAAATACAAGGCATACATTCAAACTATGAAATATTAATTGACAAAAACATATGACATGCCTAAATATGGTCATGATGACATCACATCATGACCATATTTGGGAACATCATGACTATTAATGGGCAGAGCTTTTAGTAGTCTGTCAGATAGTTTGATCAGACTTTATATTTCTTAATTTTTTTTTTAGCGTTTTGTTAATCAATAACAAATACTTTTCAAAGGAACAGTCGGATTGAGTAGGTTATTATTATGGGACATCAATTATAATTTGCGTTTCTTTCAGATTGGACAGCAACATAATACGGTGTACTTCTTCACAGTCAAGCCCTAGTTAATTTTATCAATAAAAATAGACAGAAAGGTCACAGTCTGTCAATGTCATTAAAATATGATGCTACAATTCTATTATTCTCTACATTCAAAACAATTTTTGGAAATAGTTATCTAAATTGAGAATTTTAGAGAAATATTTGACGGTGCTAAAATCATGTTTAAAATACTTGCAGAAACCCCATATAAGAAATAAATGTTTTCCTTGTGAAAAAAAAAAAATTTAATCTTAAAATCATAAATTTGATGCTAATATTCTTTAGTTGATTACCAAGAATTTAAGGGGATTTGCAAAAAAAAAAGGAACAGGATTTTTTATACATCTGACAGTGATTTTGAGATTTAAATTAAAAGATAATAATTCAATTTTATTTTTTAGTGTATTTTATCATTTTAGCTCTTTGCAGTTTGCAGACAGTATGTCTTTAATACTTTTCCACACTATCAAATTTTCTCTGGAAAAAAAACTGTTGTATACCCATATATAGTCATGATGTGCCTATACTGTCTCTTATACACATCTTCTCTCGGCAGTTGGCTACTTGACATTTTCGCACCATTTAATGCACATTTGTTTTGCAAATGGTAAACAATTGAGCCAAATTGTTTCATGGATCGGCGATTAACCTGCAAGTTCTCTGTGAATATTTGATGACTTGTGTACTGTTCGCAAGACTTGCTTTCCGAAATTTGAAAAGTGATCCAAAGTTTGTTTTCAAAGAACACATCTATGATGAGGATTGATAGCAACATCAGTAGAAGTTCAAGTAATTAATGGTTAAGGTAACCTGGGATAATTACACTTAACCTAGCAAAGACCAACTTCCTTGGCAATATGAATTAACAGTTAAATTTTAATGACTGTCATATGTCCTCAGCTAGATTGCTGTGTGAAATGGAGGAAGAAAATACCTCTGTCCATAACTTTTAATTGTCAAATAAAGGTTGATTAAAGCCATGTCCAGACTATCAAATTCTGTTTAACAGAATCATGTGACATGCCTGAATGTGTTCACTTTGCAGTCACATCATGACCATATATGGGCACATCATGACTATATATAGGCAGATAATGACTATATAAGCATACATCAGTTTTTTGGTCAAGTAAGTTTTGATGGTCTAAGGCAAGCTTTACAAGTTGGAGGTTTAAGTGAAATGTAGGCTCTAGCTGGTAGGCTTCTCATAGAGGAACAAGATTAGAATTTCTGTCCTATAGGCCTAAACTTTTGAAGTTACTTAAATTAAGTTAAATATTATCCTGGTGCAGTATTTTGCATGAAAATATTTGAAATTTGTAGGTGGGCTTATACATGAGAAACTAACACAGCAATTAGCCTATGGATAATGGTGGTGTGTACTTTATGAATGTGCATAACAAGCCAAAACACATTATGACAAGACCGTCCCATTGAGGAATACATGCGTATACCTCCATGGACGAAACGCAAGTTTTTTAGCGTCTGTATTCATCAGCATAATCATTCTGGGGGTATAATTATTTTATGGTTCGGCTCTAATATTTCCTCTTCAGGGGATGTGTTGTTCTTGATTCTCTACCGAAACAAATTGTTGGTGTGCGATTCATGTCATCGAGGTTCACAACAAACGTTCATAAAACATGAACACACTAAAGAATGTGACGTTTTTCTCTTACAATTCGCCAAAAGGATTTAAGAATTATGAGATGACAATGTCTGAGAAACATGGCCTGTGAATTTCTGTTGAAATGTGAGCATGTTCTAGCGGTGCCAAAAGTTTATCGGAATGTAGGGCAGGGCTTTTTCAGAGTCCTTACAATGGAGTCACTACCAGGCTCAAATCATTTTGTTATTGCGATACAAACTGCAGCCAAGCAGAACAGTGAAGCTACAGTCTGTGAACATGGGTCAATCTAAGTCAAACATATCAAAATGTTGGAAAGATTTTTTTAGCGTTTTGTTAATCAATAACAAATACTTTTCAAAGGAACAGTCGGATTGAGTAGGTTATTATTATTATGGGATATCAATTATAATTTGCGTTTCTTTCAGATTGGACAGCAACATAATACGGTGTACTTCTTCACAGTCAAGCCCTAGTTAATTTTATCAATAAAAATAGACAGAAAGGTCACAGTCTGTCAATGTCATTAAAATATGATGCTACAATTCT